TAGAAAACGTTTGCTATATTCCCTTTTGTTTCTATAACTACCTAAATGGACTTTAAAATGCACTTTGAAACAGTGATAAAGGTCAGTCTGGGTGAACACAAAGACACACATGTTTTGATCAGGTCCTCTTTACATTTACACCAGCCTTGAATAGTCTGGCCCAAGTCTAGACTGGAAAACAATGGGGTTTTTATAAAGAGGTCTGCAGAAATACTGATATGACCTTAGACACCTAGGCTCTTCAACAGGTTTCTTGCAGGGGCCAGAAAACTTGCATGGGAACAAACATTTTCAGATGAATTATTCAATTTTAACTCTTTCATTGTAACTTGTTAAGGAATAGTTCACACAGAAATGAAAATTTGCTGAAAATGTACTCACCCTTAGGCAATCCAAGATGTAGATGAGTATGTTTCTTCATGATAATTTATCATTACAACACTTGCTCAACAATGGATCTGTTGCAGTGAATGGGTGCCGCTAGATGAGAAAACAAACAGCTGATAAAAACATCACAGTAATTCACAAGTAATCCGCACAACTCGCACTCCATCAATTAACATATTGTGAAGTGAAAAGCTCCATGTTTGTAACAAACAAATCCATCAAGATGATTTTAACTTCAAACCATTGCTGCAGTCCATAATCCATAATAACACTTCCTCCACAAAATGATGGATTTGTTTCCTACAAACACACATCATATCACTTAACAAGAAATTAATTGAACAAATGAGACACGTTTTACTCTTTAATCAGGGACAATAACAGCAAACTCTTCTGTTCATTCTTCTTTGATGGTTAATTTCTCATCATCAGTTTCTCTTTTTTTCAATGACACTTTGTCCTTGTCCACAGGAGCTGGCAATCTGCTGCCTCATCTCATTTTTGTCTGAGTATTTGCCTACAGCTTAATCATTTGCATAAACACATTTGATTGAGATGCAATCAAATATGTAGGCCTAAATGTATTTGAGAAAACTAGTGTATCTGAACTGTTGCCAGACAAGTCTTGAACACACTCACTCCAGTCTGGATCTGGACCACGGATTGCTAATTGATGACCTCAGCGTGCTGTTGAACTCACCGCTGAGTTCTCTGATGTATCGAGCAGCACAGCAATTTCATCAAAATCAATTGGAGAGCCGTAAAAATGATCGACTTTCTGCTAGGTGTTTCTGCACCTTACAAGCGAAACTGTAGAGCTATAAGCGAGTTTTGTTTTCTTGAAAATAATAGCCGTCTCATTTCTGTTGGCTGTATATGTCATTGAGGATGTCTCATTTTTTTAAGAAAACTAACCATTATAAAACTGACTATTATTCATTGTGAGGTGTAAATTATTATAATATCTTTCTTACTTTGGAATATAATTGTTACTTTTCTCAAATGAGGCAGCTTTGATGACGTATGCAGCCAACAAATGCGACCTCCGGAGAGCGCAGCTTTTAAAATGAGAATGGGAAGTGAAACACATACACACAGAGAAGTGGGGACATGTATTCCTACCTAGATCTTAAATTTATGAATCCAAAATTCAACCTCAGAAGACACCACAGCATTTGCTGATGCATTTAAGGGCAGATTTACTAACAGCCAGCGCAAACATTAAAATAGTACTGTCAGGAATTACTAAAGACACACAGTGAAGAATTAGCACTGAAAAGGCATGGACACAGTTATTTTTGCACCTGATATTATTGAATATGCATTTGCAGTAAAACTGTAAAACTGTGCCCATAGTCACTTACAGTAAATTCAAGTTACATTTTATCAGTTTATTAGTATATGGAAGTTGAACCCATGACCTTAGCATTGTAATCACTAGTGCCATGCTCACTTAGAAAAGCTATGCATTGAAATCTTAAATTAGGTCTATGACAACATTTTTGCATTGGCATAGTTGACACAAAACAAAATTATTTAACTTTGACACTATATTTTACGTTCAAAGACCATACAACACACTTATGTACAGACAAAAAATTTATAAGATTTACTTTCCCACTTAGTCTTGATTTGTGTCAATAAGAGTAAAACTGTAAACTGCAGCAGTTTGTACCTGGAGCTGCTTGAATGTGAGCCAGACCGGGGCTGTTTGTCAATGAGCGTCATGGTAAAGACTTGGACATAACCCTGTGCATGTAGAGCTAAATGAGTATGTCAGTTCAGTGAGGGACATCAAGCCGACTGCTGGAAACGATGCTCATTAGCGCCGCTCCTCAGAGCTCCAGGGCAAAGTAGTGATCTGCGTTTTCTTACCATGAATAACTTGAAGGGAATTTGAGTTGCCATCCTGATTTCTCCCTAAATATCTCCTTCTGAGAACTCTGTGGGTAATTAATTCATACTTTATGCTGATGGAAATTCAGTACCCCTTACCTACACTCTAAAAAATGCTGGGTTAAATACAACCCAGCGCTGGGTAAAATATGAACAAACCCAGCTACTGGGTTGTTTTGACCCAGCGGTTGGGTTACTGCCCAGAAGGTTGGGTTAAATATTTAACACACCTGATCAGCACAGGAAGGTAATTTCTATCAGTGCCATAGGGATCCGTTTGACGCAGCTCCAATCAGTGAGCAAGTCCCAACGCACTGTTGCTAGAGACCAAACAGACGCTTTTATCTGATCATCCCTCATTATGGTGTGTGTATGTGTATGTGTTTGTAAGGCCAAATGATAGATGCCGTCATTGTGTCTGGTTTCTATTTACGAAGCAATGGAATTTGCTATGACGAATGTTCGCTCTTGTGTAAATAGTACCGGACGGATGTATAGATATACTTCGCACTGGTTTAATGAGCTCAAAATAAACACGCTGGATTAGGCAACTATTTGTCACCCACACAAATCTCACTAGAGGCACGTTTGAAACGTGTGCTGTTTTGAAACATCGTAAATACTGCTGTGAGGCTTCTGTGAAGATGTTTTGACATGCAGCACTTGAAATGTTTAAGTATGCAGTAAAACGTGTGATTTCGAGGCAGTGGGTTTGTTGTCTCGGTTTATGCATGATTCACATGAACTGCAAAGCAGTAATCAATCGAATTATGTCCCTTTGCTGCTGAAAAGGGATTCTGGAGTTTTTATTATCTATTGAAGTCAAACTGGACACAGTTTTTTAACAAGACATGCAACGTTGTTAAACCATCTTTCCCAAATGAATGTCCCATGGGTACAGTTTTTGTGAAGGTCACTGGGGCTTGTCCCAAGTAACTCTTAAGTGGTCCTCATTAATAATTTGCACAATTAATGGATGGGTCAATGATGTGACGCTCATGTTTTGGACTGGATCTATGAATTTATTTAAAAATACATTAATAATGCAATTCATACATAAAATGGCTTGAATATACCTCTTCTATGATGAGCATGTTTTTGAAGTCTCAATTAAAATTCATTTTGATATTTTTGGAGGGCATAATGTCAAAAATGTTAGGATGATACAACACTGTCCTGCCATAATAATGAAGATGTTGGAACTGCTTCACTGCTTATTATTTGAAAAACTTGCCAGGAAATATCAGATAATTTGACCTTTTTGTGTTGTGACAAGGCAAGGTTAGCTTAGGTTGTGAAATGTCACCTGATAATACCCTCCAAAAATGTAATATTTATGAATTTATAATTCATTATATTTGTAAAATAAAAAAAATTGTAAAAAACTTACCTTAATAAATATTTTAAATACATTTTTAAATAGCGATTAAAGAAAGTCCATTGTCATTTTTCAGTAGTGTATATGTATAAAACACAACTCACACAGAAGTCGCTTTCAAGCCAAGCAGCTTTCTGTTGGCCAACTCAACTCAGCGGATTTCATTTAAAAAATACTTTATTTTGTAAATGTGACCGCACCTGAAAGTCATAATGAAATGGAAGTAGCAACAGATCTTTTCTTCCGTACTGTGATATACAACCGGGTGTAACGGATTATTGAAAAAGAAAAAAAATCTAGGGTGGGGATTTGGTTCTGTACATCGGTTGGTTGGATTTTGAGATGAACACAAATTTGCAGGGGCAGGGTTTAAGAAAATTAAATGGTGACGCATGAGTCCTGCATGCGTCACCATTAAAAATTATGAGGTCAAAAAAAAGAAAGAAAGAAACTAAAAGGACACATATACACAAATCATATGCACAAGATCAATAACAAGCATTTAGAAAATTTTAATTTCATCCTGACTTAAAGACATGGAATCTTTAATTAAAAAATTTTTTTTTGAAAAATTGCGAACTTTTTTCTTAGAATTCAAACTTTTTTCTCATAAAAAGACAAAAAGTCAGAAATTCAAGACATGAAGTAAGAACTATGAGATATAAACATGCAATTTTGAGAAGAAAAGCAACTGCGAGATGAAAAGTCGCAATTCCATTATTTTTTTTTTTATTCTGTGGTGGAAACAAGCTTCCATATCTTTATGGACAATTTTCTAAATTGCAATATGTAAATTCAGAATTTAGAGAAAAAAAATGTTAGTACTGTAAGAAAAAGTGAATTCTGAGTTTATATCTTGGAAATCTGACTTTTTTTCTCAGAATTGCAAGTTTATATCTCGCCATTTTGACCTTTTTTTTTTTACAAAATTGCAAGAAAAAAGGTCAAAATATTGACATTAAAAGTCGCAATTAACTTTTTGTTTTAAAGGGGTCATATGACATTGCTAAACAGAACATTATGTTGTGTATTTGGTGTAATGCAATGTGTTTATGTGGTTTAAGGTTCAAAAAACACATTATTTTCCACATACTGTACATTATTGTTTCTCCTCTATGCCCCGCCTTTCTGAAACGCGTCGATTTTTACAAAGCTCATCGGTCTGAAAAGAATCCCGTGGTGGAAACAAGTATTCATACACTCACATTTATTCAGATTGTAAGTTATTGTTGTATCTTATCTTATTTATTATTGTGCCGGGTGTTTATGTACAGTGGTTTCGGGATTATTTCCGGGGAGATTAGCTTCTGCTAATGTAAGCATGTGTTGTGTCTTGCAGGGAGAGCTGCTGAGCCCGTGTCGCTGTAGTGGTTCTGTTCGCTGCACTCATGAGCCCTGTCTTATTAAGTGGATTAGTGAGAGAGGATCCTGGAGCTGTGAACTCTGCTACTACAAATACCAGGTCATCGCCATCAGCACCAAGAACCCGCTACAGGTAACTCACTGCCTGCCTGGGCTTATGTGGACAGAAGTATATGTGTTAAAAGTAAAAGCACTGATGGATGAGTTCCTTATTATTTATTATTTTATTTCACATACCTGATTCTCCTACTAGAGGGGTCTAATGCACCAGTTACACAGATAGGATAGAGTTTAAATAGGTTAGAGCTTGGTCTGACATTATTAGAACACCTGAGAAGAGATGATGCCAACCCCTCAGAGGACCTCAGATGATGCCAACCCTGAAACAACATACAGAACTACCACATTTTGCTATAAGTTTGATTGCATCATATAATAGTTGCTGTTAATAGTGTTCATCGTCTGTTTGATTACATCTTTAATTGATTTTTCCGTACATTTCTGCCATATGTACATTAACTGACAGTCACCACTGATAAGCTACCACTAAATATTGTAGAAACTTAATTTGCTGTAAAGTTGCTTTGCAACGATTTGTATCGTGAAAAGCGCTATACAAATAAACTTGAATTGAATTGAATTGAATATTAAGAATTTTTATTAGTCTGAACACTTGAGCTCTGAGGATCATATTACTCCTGGTTGGCTCATTTTGAGTCAGACAAGACCAATTCAGTGATTTGAGACTTGATCATTTGAGACTTAATCATTGAATCAGTGAGTTGTGAACTGCTGCAGTCGAAATTCACAAATGAATCATTAAATGTGATTTATGAATCAGTTCATTGAGAATTGGCTCTAAAGAATGATTTGTTCCCCAATCAGACATTGTTATCAGGTCTCAGAGCAGGTCTCAAATTCTTTACTTCAAAAAAACTATATATTTTTTTCTGAAATGTAGTGGAGGTACCCATACGCAAGTGTGAAATATTGTATGTGCATACGTTAAATTTCCATATATGAAATATATTGTCATATGAAGTAAAACATTGTTAACCCTATTAGAAATTGGAACAGTTTATATGTTTCATTCAGCCCGATCTCACGGCAATTCATACATATTTTACGAGGTGGCTAATTCGTACAAATTTGTACGACCTCACTCGTACAAATTCATATCATTTGTGCTAAATTGTACGTATTTTACGAGTTGCACAATTTGTATGAATTTGTACAAATGACCTACACCTAACCCACTGGGGTCTAGACAAATCATACAAAATCGTACGAGTGAGGTCGTACGAATTAGCCACCTCGTAAAATACGTATGAATTGGTCGTGAGATAGCGTTGGTTTCATTTCAGTCCGCCATTGGTATTCTTTGAAGTACACTGCATGGCCGAAAGTGTGTGGACACCTGAACATGACAACCACATGTGTTTGTTGAGCAAAACCATGCAATTCATTCCAAAAGCAGGGGCATTAATAAGCCATCAGTCCTCTCTTCCACTCTTCTGGCAAGGCTTGGCGGTGGAACATGGCTGCAGGGAACATTGCTCTCGTTCAGACACCAGAGCATCAGTGAGGTCAGACACTGATTTTATACGACTGTCATCCCAAAGGTGTTCAGTGAATTTCAGGTTGGCGTTTTGTGAAATCCAGCCAAGTTCTTCTATACTAGAGTCAGTAAATAATTTCCTCATGGATCCTGCTTTGTGCAGAGAGCACTGTTATGTTGGGAAAGAAAATAGTATCTCCCATTTTTTGGATATTACATGACTGTATGCTTGACTGAATCAGAAAACGATGTTCACAAACTTTGGCCATGTAGTGCATCTTGGGTTACCATGTATGAGATATGAATATGGTAGTCATTCAGCACCATGATCTAACCATCTGTTCACTTTGCCATTGTACCACCACAATACTGAGAGCAGTAGTGGTGTGTTTATCTTATTCCTTTCATACTGTGTTAGCTCAAGTAGTTTATATGCTTCTCTGGGTTCAAAGCTTCTGCGCTCACTGATTTTACTTTCTGTCTTTTTTTGTTTTCTTTTGATCTGACCTTTAGATGATAAATAGGCTATTTTTTCTTTGTTTTAGTTATTTTAAAGGTGCACCACAGAACTTTGGTCTCTATATTGCCATCTGTGGTTGAAACATAAAATTACAAATTACTCACAGAGTTGTTTAGTTGTGCTTTTCTCTGGTTGATTTGCCTATGATTAGATCTGTCATTCTATTCTGGGCCAAGATCCAGTGACAGCTAGAAGGATGTCTACATGGCATACAGTATATATGAAAAAATGTGTAAAAAATATGTATTGTGAGCAAGCAGCTTAGACCATTTTTTGATTATGGGCATGATGTAAACCTGAAATGTACAAACCGCCCTAATTGCTCAAAATATAAATCATTTTAGTAAGTTTACCGTAGTGAATTGGGGTAAGGCTTACTTGATCAATAATGTAACTTTATTCATGTTTTACATGAAAGATCTTCCATAGTGCTAATAATCAATCAATCAATTAATCAATCAATGCTGTTTAAAAGTTTGGGCTTAAGATTTTTTTTTAATGTTTTTGAAAGAAGTCTTTTCTGCTCACCAAGACTGAATTTATTTGATCCAAAGTATAGAAAAACAGTGATATTGTGAAACATTATTACAATTTGAAATTGTAAAACTGTTTTCTGTTGTAATATATTGTAAAATGTAATTTATTCCTGTGATGCAAAGCTGAATTGTCAGCATCATTACTCCAGTCTTCAGTGTCACATGATCCTTCAGAAATCAATCTACTGTAATATGCTGATTTGCTGCTCAAGAAACATTTCTTATTTTTATCAATGTTGATTGTTGATGTTGAACAGTTGCTTCATATTTTGGTGTAAACAAGGATACATTGTTCTTCCAGGATACTTTGATGAATATAAGGTTCAAAAGAACAGCATTTATTGGAAATAGAGATCTTTTGTAACACTGTATTTACTGTCACTTTTGATCAACTTAATGCATACTTGCTAAAGTATTAATTAAAAAAAAAAATTATTGAGCCCAAACTTTTGAGCCATAGTGCAACTTTTTATATTATCATTCTCTATAATTTTAAAGTGATAAGTCACTTAAATTACTTTTTAAATGTATAAATATTTAGCAGTGTCTTCTTGTTTTTCATGTGTGCTGAAATGTGGTACTGGTACTGTACTATCCATTAGTTCACATTTTTTGTGTCTCCAGTGGCAGACCATCTCTTTGACGGTGATAGAGAAAGTACAGATAGCTGCAGCTGTTCTGGGTTCCCTGTTCCTGATAGCCAGTATCTCCTGGCTGGTCTGGTCCTCTCTCAGCCCATCGGCCAAGTGGCAACGGCAGGACCTGCTCTTCCAAATCTGTTACGCCATGTACGGCTTCATGGACCTGGTGTGCATCGGTAGGTCATTGGATTCTCAATAACTGCAGCCACCTGGCTCAGCAAAACCAACGCTGTGTTTTTTATGTTTGCTTGTTTACCAGTCTGAGATTGTCAGACAATGTCTGAACGAAGAAAAAAAACCTTTGAGTACATGGCGGCCTCCCTGGTGGCCAACCGACATACAGTGCCTTGCGAAAGTATTCATACCCCTTCATTTCTTTCACATTTTGTTATGTTGCTGCCTTATGTTAAACTGCTTTAAATTTCTTTTCCCCACATCAATCTACACTCCATACACCATAATGACAAAACAGACAAAAACAGAATCGTCACAACTTCGTCAATTTATTAAAAATAAAAAACTGAAATAAGTACATTGCATAAGTATTAACTAAATATTTAGCTGAAGAACCTTAACAGCCTCAAGTCTTTTTGGGTAAGATGCAACAAGCTTTGCATATCAGCATTTGGCAATTATCTGCCATCCTTCTCCTCTCAACCTCTCTGTCAGCTTGGATGGGGGCAGATGCACATTTTCAGGTTTCTCCAGAAATATTTGACTGGGTTCAATCCCAGGCTCTGGCTGGGCCATCAAGGACATTCACACAGTTGTCTATAAGCCACTCTTGCTGTGTGCTTAGGGTCATTGTCCTGTTGGAAGGTGAACCTTCTGCCCAGTCTGAGGTTCTGAACGCTCTGGACTGGGTTTTCATTAAGGCTATCTCTATATTTTGCTGCACTGAGCTTTTCTTCTACTCTGACGAGTCCCTCATTGGAATTGAGACCAGAGAATCTTGTTTCTCAGAGTCTGAGGGTCCTTTAGGTGCTTTTTGCAAATTCCACAAATTCCAAA